AGGACAAGACTGTTTGTGTTGTTCACTCACAAACCCACCTGCTTGGGATAGTGCCTGCCATAGTCGGTACTCCATAAAAATCAGGACTTCCAGCCAAGATGGAGGTATAGGTGGACACGCTTTGCCTCCTCGCGCAAACACAAAAAGAATTACAACTAAATCTCAAAACAAAAAATACCCCGAATTGACAGAAAATCAAACTGAATGGAAGTCCAACAACCAAGGATTTAAAGAAGACACATTCATCCAGACGGGTAGGAGGGGTGGAGGGGTAGAAATGCAGAGACAGGGTGAAGAGGCAAGGAGACATGGTAAGGGGCGGAGAGGCTCTGGTGGCAGTGGAATGGGCATGGGCAGTCCTACATTCATGTGTGGTGGATAAAAATCAGGAGGGATGCCTTGGAAGCAAGCGATACCAGCCCCAGGCCAGACTGCACTGTCCCAGCGCTGGGAAGTTAAGTACCCACAACTTCTGGCTATAAAAAACAGTGGGGGTTGGGGCAGTGGAAAAAACTGCCAGGTTTTCAGGAAAACTCTACTTAAAGGGCCCACATGGTCTTAAAACATGTAAACCCATGCACTCTGGGATTAAACACGAGGGCAACAGCTGGAAGGGCACCAGTCACACATGGGGAGTGGGTGAAGTGACTGGACACAGGGTGAATGCCGGACAAACATACAGAAGCCTGGCAGTGGCACAGTCCCCTCTCCACACCCTCCCCCAACATAGAGCCACAAAGTCCTGAAACAGGTTGCCCTGCCCTAGAGATTACCTAAGGCTTCACCCCACACAATTTAAAGGTACCTTTTACAGAGAGCCAAAGCAGCTCTCCCTAATACACAGAAACAAACACAGGAAGGCTGCCAAATTGAAGAACAAAGAAATATGGCCCAAATGAAGGAACAGAACAAAACCCCAGAAGAAGAACTAAACAAAATGGAGATAGCGAACCTGTCAGATGCAGATTGCAAAACACTGGTGATCAGGATGTTCAAATAACTCGGAGTACGGCAATGATGTGAAGGGCGAAATGAAGGTTATACTAAGGAAATAAAGGAAAATCAACAGGGAACCAACAGTAAAGGGAAGGAAGCTGGGATTCAAATCAATGATTTGGAACATAAACATTCAACCAGAACAGAAAGAAGAAACAATAATTTAAAAAAATGAGGTTAGTATAAGACACTGGGACATCTCCAGAAGTGCCAACATCTAAATCATAGGGATGCCAGAAGGAGACGAGCAAGAGCAAGAAATTGAAAGCTTATTTGAAAAAAATAATGAAAGAACACTTTTCTAATTTGGGAAAGAAAATAAACATACAACTCCAGGAAGAACAGAGAGTCCCAAACAAGTTGGACCCAAGAAGACCACACCAAGACACATCATAATTAAAATGCCAAAGGTTAAAAATAAAGAGAGAATCTTAAAAGCAGAGAATTACCTAAAAAGGAGTTCCCATAAGACTGTCAGCTGATTTCTCAAAAGAAACTGTGCAGGCAAGAAGGGACTGGCAAGAAGTACTCAAAGTGATAAAAAGCAAAGACCTAAAAGCTAGATTACTCTATCCAGCAAAGCTATCATTTAGAATGGAAGGACAGATAAAAGTGCTTCCTAGACAAGGTAAAGTTAAAGAAGTTCATCATCGCCAAGCTATCATTGCATGAAATGTTGAAGGGACTTATTTAAGAAAAAGATGATCAAAACTATGAACATTAAAAATGCAACAAATTCACAACAATCAACAAGTGAATCTAAAAACAGACAAACAAACTAAGCAAACGACCAGAATAGGGAGAGAATTATAGGTATGGAGATCATCTGGAAGGTTATCGGTTGAGAGGGGGAACGGGATAAAAGGTGTAGGGTTTAAAAAGCATAATTGGTAGGTACAAAATAGACAAAGGGAGGTTAAGAATAGTACAGGAAATGGAGGAGCCAAAGGACTTATATGTACAACCCATGGACATGAACTAAGGGGGGAGGGGTGCTGGAAGGAGGGGGGATACCAGGAGGGTACCAGGCGGACAGGCGCTAAGGGGGAAAATTGGGACAAACTGTAATACCCTAATCAATATAACATACTTAAAAAAAATCAGCTCAATGAACATAATTGTAATTGATGCCCAGAAATTAAGCTGGAGTATAAACATTAAGATGAATATATGGCATAAAAAAAGCCAACTCTGATTCTAATAAAGATCATATTTACCTTTTATATACAAAGATTATAATTTTAAATCCATCACACACTCATAAATCCAATGATGACTTTGGAGTTTCAGGCATCTATATAAAACCCTTTGGAACAAAGTAATTCCTACAAGCCTTCAATTAAAATTCATTAAAAGCAATGGGAATTCTAATAAACATATTAACATTTACATTTAGTTTTGAGTTACTTTTCTCTCTGCTTTATGTGGGAGGTCTTTTTGTTCTGCCACAGTTTTATGGAAAAAACGATGAGTCCTATAAATGTCTATCCAAAGCACCTCACAAAGCAGTCTTTACACATATAATATTCAGCACAAAGGAGGACAGAACAGTACTTAGTACTCAAGCTAGAAACATGAAATATATAGAAAGGTTTATTATTAGTTTCCTCTTATGCCTCATAACCTGACAGAACAAGTATCAAATTATCTGAATATGAACAAGATGAATGTTTGCTCTCCGACTGGCTTAAGCTATAAAGTGTTTTATAGTTTTTTAACACTAAAGCTTTCTCCCCACTCCCTCCCCTGCAAACACACGTTATTGGCTATATTACTTTACTTTTTAAAAGTCAGGTTTCACCAAAGATAAAGCTTATGTAGAAAAATGTACTAAATGCCTGACATTTGGTCTTAACATACTTCTTGGAAAATACTTTTAAATGCAGAAGGGACTGTAAACACAAACTGTCACAGAGACATTTTAGTGGCTAAAACATGGCTTTGAAAATGAAATACTTGTGATCAAGCTCAAAGTCTTCTACTGTCATATTTTTGCCATGTTAACAACTTGGTCAATTTTAATTTCTTGATCATTAAGTCCAAGAATAAAAATCACGTAATATTGTGGTAAGAATACAGAGAAAATAAAAACTATGTAGCTTCTTAATATTTACCTAATAGTTTTAAGGCAAACATCGTTATTCCGAATGGCTTTGAAAACACTGAGAGAGACAAATTAGGCTGGAGGAGGGCCACGGTGCTTCTATTACTCTTTCCATATTCTCACACCTGTTGTAGGTGCCAAGGAACTCTTTCCCAAGTATATGATTTTTACAATAATGAAAGTAAACAGTTAATTCAGGAACAATCCAAACTTTCCAAAATTCAAGTCCACTGCTTGACTCCCTCATTTAGACGATAAACTGCTAAATAATCTAATTTAACTTGTAAGTGTTTTTGAATACTGAGGTTCAAAATCAGCAGAAGCCTATTCATCATATCTGAACATTTCATGTTCACATTGTGTATTTTCAGTTAATACGAAATAGCTATTTCTTATTAAAACCTACCTGTGGTGCCAGAAATGAGCCTACATCTTTGCAAATAGTATCTCATTTGACCCTCAAACCAACCTTGAAAGCAGGTGCTCTTATTGTCTTCATTTTCCAGAGGGAGACACAGGTGACCGGAGAAAATCTGTACTGTCAGGCGTCACACGGCTACTGCACAGCAGGCCAGTTTGGGATGCAGCCTGTCTTACACCGGAAGCCTGTTTCTCAGTCTCCACCACCCCGCCCCATAAGATATAACAGACACGGACGCTCAGAAAATAAACTCTCAACTTCTGAACCACAAATGGGCCACACAGACAAGCCGAAAGGTTTTCTGAGAAGTGACCATACCAAAGAAAGCAAAACAACCAAAAAGAAACCAAGACACACTGTTGAAGGACACTGTTCCTTTCATTATGGGAAATCAGGCTCCGCAAAAGGCTAGAGCGGTGGTAAGTGTTGAATTAAAACATTAAAAATTACATTATATCAGCACTTGCTTCAAAATAGGGAGATAAAGAGTTGGGGGCTAAAGAGTTTCAAATAGTTATTTTCTTATAAGAATCTTAGAATAAAATCTGACAATAATAATAAACCAGTTTATCGTAACAGACAAACCAAGTATTAACTATCACTAAACAAATCCTGAACAGCAAATTAAGACAAAACCAAAGGCGGAAAATAATCATTTAAACATGATGACAGGGTACAAAACAAGTAAGATATGAAAAAATAAATTGCAGGCAGTTTACAACCACCAACGAAAATAGGTAACGGCAACCGAACCCGTTTCAGCAGAGCAATAAGGCTTCCCCTGTGCACTGCATTTGCATTGTAACCGAGAGCAGAAGCAGAACAGCAAAAGGCACTCCCAGATGAGCCTGGGCATCTAGGAACTTGCGAGGGATCAGACACTGTGCTAACAAGAAAGTCTGAGGAGGCCAGGAGCAAAGCCCGGTGGCCATGGGAAGAGGAGGGTGCGTCCTCGAGCACTGACTGGCACGATGCTGTCTATGCCATCAAAAGCCTCCCAAGAGGCAGCCTCTGAAGTCTGGAGGCACAGCAGAGACTAAGGCCAAGTCCAGAGCCTTTCCTTGGTGGCTGGGAGGATTACCTCAGGTGGGTTGGGCTGCCCAACAGAGGAACAGACTAGAGAGGGATAAAGGTAAGGATAATCAACCTGGGAAACTTTAGGAATGGTAGGTGAATTTTAAAAGAGAGGGAAGGTAAAACAGTAATGACATGTATAATACAATGAGGGGCCACATCTGGACTGTGTGCAGTAAAGACAAAGCAGAGCCAACAGGCCGGCTGACCCGACCCAGGAAGGCCCCTGAAAGGGCTTGGGGTCTATGTGAACCCCACATAGGATGGGATGTTTTAGCTCAAAAGCTTCAAGTATATTGGGAAAGGCTCATAAGGACCCAGAAAAGGGGCCCCGTATATATATCAATGAAGTGAAATTCTTACTATTTCAATTATTTCATCAGAATTACACACAAAAACACTTACCAACCAAGACAACAAGTCTGTATTTCTCATTCATTTGTCGCCGATAGGGGGTCACTTCCTCATATGTGGGTACATCAGCTGTATCATATTGATCACTCTTCTTGCATTCATACATGGATTTGTTTGTTTTCTTATCTTTTCTACTAAGACGAAAACTTCTTCTAAAACCAGCTGTAAATACAAAAATAATTATTTTTAGTAATAAGAACTAAAAAAACAAAGCCCTTAAAAAACAAAAATAAAAATAAAATCTTCAAAATTGAGCCAGATTTTATCCTCCAAAATATTGTTACAAGTGCACTTAGAGAACAAAAATAGATACTACACAATTTCATTAACATAATTTATAAGAGAATCATCTAACATTAAAGTATATGTTATAATGATATAAATATTACTTGGTTCTAAATCATAGTTTTCTTCAAAAATCAATGAGTAAAATAACTATATTATAAAACAAAATAAGGAAGTCAGAAATCATAAAGATAATTTATCATGGACTGATTAATGAACACATTTCATAAGAAAAAGTTAAAAGCACTTTAAAAACATTTTAAATATAAATGACAATCCTCTCACTCATAAACACTGCAATATTTTATGTCATAATCTAAACATAGCCTAACAACATACTGGGGGCACAGACAGCATCTATTGTTAAATTAAAAAAAAAAAAACACCACCTAAATTAGGGAAAGCATAGTGTCAAATGGGCATAAGCGTGTATCAGGTTGATTGAACCAGCCTGTTCCTAAAATTTAGCAAGTCACTTAACTTATATGAGACTCCAGGGGGATGGAATACTTGTGCCTCAGATCTCCTCTATGTCAATTCTATATTTTAATGATTTGAAGCCACTGAAATTTGGAAATAAATTTCACAGTTTCAATTGTGTATTCATCAACAGGTCATATGATCTTTTACTAAGGTAACCTCTTAAATATTTAAATAAATTTCATGTCTGCTTAAAGCTCCCTCTCCAGCTCACTGCTATCACTTAACACCTGGTATTAAAAAGCTCAGCAAGAGTTCCTTTCCTCAGTCAGCTCCCACTCCATTCTGCTTGCTGTTCATGTTGTTACACTAATCTGGTTTTCTTTCTTTTTTTAGAGCAGTGATATTTACCATGCGTATCATTCGAGAACTCAGTAGGATGTGTACTCAATTCTTAACAAACCTTTATACTTGCTCAAAATCCAGACTTTAAGACAGAGAAAACAGCCTGCTTATTAAAATACTACATATATATATATATATATATCCTATATCAGCTCTGTAGTACAAAACAAAATACTTTTTTAAATATGTAAAACTATATTCTCTTTAAAAACAAATACTGATTAAATTTGACACATAGAAAACTTTAAAAATAAAGCTATTCTATAACACAATATAAAAATATAATACCTAATCTGTGTGAATTTAAGGGAACATAAAGAAAAAGAATAATTTTACCATTGGATTTAAGAAGACATTAGGATTCAAAATAAAGGCAATATTAAAAACAATTATCTATGACTATGGCGTTTTATCACTCATAGATTCAGTTTATTAAAAACCAATCAACACATTAAGAAAATAAAAAAGTGTATCTGATAATAATTCCTGTGGGCCATCAAGAGTCATTCTGATTTCGAGGAAATACTCAGATTTAAGAGAAAACATTTACAAAGCATTTGAAACAAGAAGACAATTGCTCTCAAACTCTCTTATCAAAGATAAACAGGAAAAAGTGAAGAGGGTATGTGATGAAACACATTGGTATTTTATATGAGATGAGATCTGAGGGAAGGAAAAGGGGAAATGTGTCATCCTGGTCCTAGGAGAGAGAAAAAGATGTGTGAATTCTCACATCCCACATGCAGACACCATTCAAACTGCTGTGTAAAGGGCCAGAGGACACGCTGCACAGTATTTGTTTCTGTTTCCTAGGATATTGGGAAAGAATCATAAGAACCCAGAAAAGAGTCCCTGAGGTGGGTGATAAATAGACAGATAGACAGACAGACAGAACCTCAGTCACTGCAACACCAGCACCAGAAGTAGCTGAGATTCTTACTACTTCTGATGCTTTAGCAGAGTAGTTCCCAGACCATGGTGTCTGCCTAATTTCCAGAAATTACTTCTCCCACTCCATCCCACCCTAACATTCTGTCACGTGTGACTGCTGGCCAGGACTGGCATCCAGAATAATAAGATGGCTTCTGGTTTTAGCTCCAAAATGACACATCAGCTATTCTTTTTCTATGCTGGTATTTCATTGTGTTCTAATTTCAGGTTTCCAGGGTTCTTGTCTCCAGAAAGGCAATTATAGAATAAGCAGGTAGAACTAGAAATGACTTCACAATTATTCCTTGTATGGGGGATGGGTTTCCTCAAGTCACTACAAACTTTTGGCACAGAAATAGTTCTAACTAGGACATGAATGCCTCATCCAAAGCAAATCAAGTCCAAGAATGAAAACCTGAAAAATTTATGATCTACAAATCACAGCTAAATCCTGAATTTCAGTGCAAGTGTTAACCTAACTGGGTCTTTACAATTAACTGAAGTTTTTGCTTTCATCATAAACAATAAATGGATAGTAGAGGAAATAAAAAAGTAATCAGATTTCTAACATGAGGGTCTATGGACGTCAAAGATGGGGACTGTAGTCCACAGGATGGTCTGGTGATACTTGCTTGGTGCAGAATAGGTGCTTGGTAAAAGTTTACTAAATTGAAGTTAAAAAGGCAACAACAAAACCCCACTGTCATTCCTGTTTGATTTTCTTAGGTAAATTTTAACAAAGAAACAGCACATTTGGTATTTTCACAAGAGAAAATTCTAAGAGGCAGACAAAAGGACAGAACACTGCATACATCAAGGCTTAGTACGGGAAGTAACTCTGGAGACCTCGTGGGCCAGCTCCGTCCCTGCTCCCTGGCCAGTACACGTGTTCCTGTCACTGTACTGACCCACACACCATGACAGGGTCTGACCACATTCACATCTCTTTTCTAGGCGCTGACTCCCAAGCAGGTGAAATTCACACAGGTTATGAGCTTTGGTGTCTTGAAACAAAGGGAAAACAAAGGGATAGACCACCACACTGATTCTATCACAGCAGCTCCATCACTAGCTGTTAAAAGGCAAAGACAGGAGGTAAACAGGCCTAACCTATGCTCTTCTGACTTACCGGCTGTGTGACTTGTCAACTTTTAAAAAATATCTTGGCTCATTTTCTCGAACTTTAAAATAATAGTACCTACATCTCACAGGGCTGTTAAGAATGAAACAATTCCCGTAAGCCACTTGGCCCAGTACCTGGCATGTGGTAAATACTATACATGAGAGCTATAAATTAGTACTTGATTATGCCTCCAACTTATTTACAGTACCTTGAAGGCAGGAACATGTTATACCTCCCTGTGTTCCCACAACACAGAGTCTAGCAAGAAAGGGAAAAATAAATTAAGGGGCTTATTAATAAGCTTTTAACTGGCTAATGTTATAAAAGATACAAAATATTAAAATTAAAGCCAGATTTAAATGTTAAATATTAAAAGTACTCGATTAAAATAATGAGTCATTTTAAAGAAACACAACTGAAAGATTTAGTGTACATTAACTCTTCTCTTTTTTACTTACTCTTTCTAGGGAAGTATGTTATTTCTGGTGCTATATTTAAAGGCATCTTTCCAGCTGTCTTACTTATCACAATCCTTTACTCCTCTGTTCCACATTACCTAATATGTTCCACATTTATATCACTTAATACATATATACACTTATATACGGGTACACAAGTATACATATGTACATAAATATCCATATATAAACACACAGATTTTTCAAAAACATGAAAACTCCCAAACCCAGAGCAAGCAATAAAACAGCCAGAAGAGAGGATATAACAAAACATATGAAATCCAAAGTACGTGCCTATTAATTATTTCTCAAACCAAAAAAACCAAAACAGCTTATTTTCCTAGAATCTGCCTGGCACGTCCTTCAAGGCAGTACAGAGATTGTGACTTTCAAACATCAGTAACATGATGAGTGATGTGACCACACACCTGGGTAAAGTCTAGGCTTAGAGAAAGAAAATTCTATGTCAGGAAAAGGGGTTAATAATTGTTCTAGCCTTCACATCTTATGTGGTTCTCATTAAAAGGGAGATTAAAAAAAAAAGTGTACTTAAACTGAAAGTAAGCCGGGGGTTCTTTCAGGTAAATGTTTATAAATAACCTAGAACCTGTTTAATTCCAGTTCATTTCCAGTGCCCAAGTTTTAGCAATAACTGGGGGCTTTTAAAAGAGAAGGAAGGTAAAAGGAACAGTAACAAGGAATTTGGAGTAAGGGAACAGTTTTACACAAAATATATTTTTCCTTATATTTCACATTTTTGTAATTTATAATTGGCTCAGCGTTTTTATGGACAGGCTTTTTCCAGGGCACTTACCCACAGCTGCTAGAGATTTGCGTGTTTTAAAGGAACAGAAATTTAACATTATTACAATGGGAAAGTGACTTTAGAGTAAGCCTGCAGTTGCAGGTCAGCCCCTAACCACAAGGAGATACTTCTTATCTTGTATTTTCCAGTAGAAGTCATTTACATTAACACATTTCACTACATCGCTTTGAAGTTAAACTTATTTTTTACTATAAAAGGTGACACTTAAGTTGCTATCTGCTTCTTATTTCAATAAGACTGCAAAAGACATGCGTGTACATTCCCTTTTGTCCACGTCACTGATGATTTCATTAGGACAAATTGCAAAGCAGATATCTCGTCCAAATGCTTCTCAGACTAATTAGTGTACATTTCCATCAGCAATAAGCACCATTGCCCATATTACCATTCTCTCATAGAAGGACTTCTAATTAAAGACTTTAATGATTGGACAAGTGAAAAATTATATAGCATTTCATTTTAACTGTTGGTGTAATTAGCCTTTTTTCATGTTTATTACTCATTTGCATTTCTTATTATGCACACTGTTGTTTAATACATTTTGATCACTCTTGATTAGGGTCTTCATAAATAATGCATACATATATGTGTATCTTTTTAGGTAATGGTCCTTAGCCGTATTTGTTCCAAAGACCTTTTAAGATTTTCAATTTTTCTTTTTGATAACATTTTAAATGTTTACCTACTTGAATCTGTGAATTCCTTTCATTTGTGA